GAACAAGCATAACCAAGACAATGCAATCTGTTGAACACGAATGAAATATGCTGGAACGGCCGAGAAAGGTTCTGTACTAACAGAATGTACTCAGAACTGCCTATAGAATAAGGAACTGAACTGTTTTGGAACCATGGTAACCAGCAAAACATGTTTGTCTCAAGAAAGAAAATGATGAAGGCATAAAAGAAGGGACCATCTAACCTCAAACTTGTGGTCTCTTGATCCACGGCAAAAGGGGGCCATACAACCTTCATGGATGCCTGATCAATGTCCAGTGGAGAATTGTGAGTATGGGGGTGTGAATGTGTGAGTGAATGAGAAGAGCTCTTGATATTTAAAGTGTTTGTTATATTGATTCCTTGATGTTTGAAATGATTTTTTTATTTGTTATGTCTCAATAAATGTTACATGCATAGTGTCTAAACCCAAATCTGGTTTCCTATGTGTCTCTGTTAAAAATCCTATAGTCTATGCTGGCTACATTTCTCTCTGGATCAAAAAGAACTAAAAATCTCGGTTCATGACACCAGTAGTTGTTTCCCTACCCTTCTCCTCCCTCCTTTTCTCTCCCCCCCTCATGTCCTTCTTTATTTTAGTCTCTTATCTGTCTGCTGGCCCTTGTTTGATTTTCCTTGCCTGTCCTCTCTCTTTTCTCCTGTCCTTCCCCTGTAAGGAAGTGTGTGTGTGTGGGGGGGCTGAGGTGAACTTACATGTCTGGGAGAGGATTGGGTGGATTCTTTTCCCAACTCTCTTTGCAGCTTCAGATGGTAGGAGGAGGTTAGATGAGTCTTTCCCCAGCTTTCCTTGCTACTTCAGATAGGTGGAGGGGTTGGGCGAGTCTTTTCCCAGCTCTCCTTGCTGCTTCAGATGGTAGGATCAGATTAGATGAGTCTTTCCCCAGCTTTCCTTGCTACTTCAGATGGGAGGAGGGGTTGGGTAAGTCTTTTCCCAACTCTCCTTGCTGCTTCAGATGGTAGGAGGTGGTTGGATGAGTCTTTTCCCAGCTCTCCTGGCTGTTTCAGATTGTAGGAGGGGGTTGGAATCCTCCTCCTCCTCCTGCTTCTGACTTCCTCCACTCTCCAGTCAAAGAGTAGTAACATCCACTGCTGCTGGGAGACATCCAATGCATGGTGTGTATATATAGAGAGAGAGGGAAGGAGGGAGAGAGAGACAGAATGAGAGGAGGATGAAACCAGGAGGGACGGGGGGGAGCAGGGAAGGAGCTTGGAAACTTCACTTTGGCTCATTGAGGGGAGAGTCTGGTCTCCCCCCTCCAAGAATCCCACTTCCATTCAACCCAGCAGGGTTCGACACTGAACGAGGAATGGCATAAGCATAAATAAACTCTATGCCTGCATATGTCTATTTTTGACTCTGCAGAGGTTAGTATTCCCTCCCTCTCTCCACCGCAACCAAAGTCCCTCCAGACCTACCAGAGAGTCACTGAAGTCATCCTCACTCATTCATATTTGGAGAACAGAAGAGAAGCATCAGAGGAATATATGACTATGCCCCTGTAGCCAGACATGAAGATGTTAAATCAGCCAATGAGCTGTCTGGAGGAATCTAGTGGATTTCAGCAGATGATGTAATATCTTTGTGTCTGGTTATGGGGACATCACCAAATGCTTCATCAAACCCTTCTATTCTCCTCCAGACATGAATGGGTATTGCTGGGAAGCTTCAGCAGCACTTCAGAAGGTCAAAGAGTTTGTAAGTGGCTCAGTGTTGCATAGTTTTGCATGCATAACTACAGACACTATGAGCATGCCAAATTCAACATCTAAATCAGATGCATTTTCAGTTGCAGTGACTGCATGGTATGGAGGAAGAGATGAACCCTGATACTAAGATTTAACTGGCACAGGTACATCTACGTTTCTTGTCTTTACTATACATCATAAGTAGCAGATGAATGAATGAGACAATTAGATTGAAAAATACTGTGAGGTATGTGAGGTGATACCATGTTGATCTCTGGTGTAATATCTGTGAACGTAAGTCATTATCTGTTGCTGCCTCTGTCTAACGAGAATGGCATTTGACACTGAACACTTTATTTGATAACTCCAAACTGAATCTTGACAGTATTTGATTGTCAACATATAACAATGTTTAGATGAGTGGTAGCAATGGGTGAAACCAGTGGTTTCTGACTTCTGACTTCAAGCAACATTTTCCATAAGAACTTATGCATTGAAGATTGAAATCTTCTTGATTGTCTTCTACAGTAGTGGCTCCCAAAATTTGATCCTCCCAGTGTTTTGGATTTCAACTCGTAGAAGTCAGCTTGGCCAGTGATTAGGGATTCTGGAAGATGAAGTTCCAAACATCTGAAAAACCAAACATTGAGAGCCATGTTTCCAGGGTTTACATTCACAGCAAACACTGTTGGATGTTCCCATCACCCAATGTATGGATGTACCAATTCTTTCCCTACCATCGCCTGAGAACTCACAAACTGCAGCCAGTCACAAAATGGCAACTTGGACCACACGCTCCTTGAACATACCATGAATAATGGCATCTTAATGCCAAATCTAAAAATACACTAGGCAACACATTAATAGTTAGTGAACAATACCTGTGGAACACTGAGGAGTTTATCACATGAGTCCTATTCTTGTTTTGATTGTGTTAGTATAAGGAACTGGATATAGGACGTTATCACACGTGGGCCAGAAAGCGAAAATGAAGTGGAAATGAGGCATTCTGAAAATAAATGCAAAATAAATCTTGATTCTGCAAATGGCTTTCACATGTAATTACCTTAATTGTGAAATTAAAGTAAGTGCATTTAACGTTCACACACAAGCGAGAAAAGCCCGTAAATGTACTAGAAATGAGGTTCTTGCACATGCGCAGATAGAGGAATGCTTGCTGGAACAATGGGAAAAGCAGGGAAATGCTCCCAAATTCGCATTTGTTTTTCACCTTACGGTAAATGCGAAATTACCTTAATATCGCATTTGCATTTCCTCCAAACAACCGAATTTCAAAAGATCACGGTTAACACCAGTTTCTGTCCACTTTCTGTCCAGTTTCTGTGCCACATTGTGTGAAAACGCGGGGCACAAATCAAGTTTCTGTTTGGGATTTGTGTGGATTAACCAGCAGATTTACCCTGTGATAACGTCCATACACTGTTTGGAAGTATTCCATATCATAAGTCTCCTCAATAGTGCAACTGGGCCATACTCCTCCTTTGCTCTGTCTTCCTGCCCTATGCCCTACCCAGCATGCCCTTCAGGATTTTTTTTAAAAATATGTGTTCTTTAAATTATTCTTAATGCAATACTGGAGTCATGCTGATATATATATATATATTTAAAAAAGAAAGTTTTTAAAAAAGAAAAAAAAGAAAAGTCCTGCTCTGGAATAGTGAGGGAGGGGGCAAATAATTTTGTGTACATTTTTCTTCATTGCATGCCTGAAGATGTTCATATTTCTGAGGCAAGAGGTGTTTAATTCTATTGTCAGTCCTGGGAGGTGTAAATTTGATATTTTTATAGTAAATATGGGCCCAATAAATTCCTTTTCTGTCTCTAGTCCCAAGAACAATCCATAAATTCAAGAACTAGAAAACAGTCAAAGGGCCTCGGCAGACGACTAATTGGATCATCTTGGAGGCACGGAAGAGGAGGGGCAGCCGCATGAGCGGCGCCCCTTCCTGTTCCCGAGGTTGCTCTTGGAGCTGCCAGCCGTCCGCATGGCCGGCGCTGCCAGGGCAACCTCCCGCCGCAGCGACCGCACGCGCTGCGGCAGAAAAGACAGGGAAAGTGCGCCCTACGTGTTTAGGGCGCACTTTCCCTGTCTTGTAAAAGGAGCGCCAATTTGGAGCTCCTTTTAGGGACACCGCAGGAGCGCCGCGGTGCGGCTGCCATGGCCCTGTGGTGCTCCGTCCGGCGGCGTCCTGGGAGCACTCGTGTGCTTCCCCCCTACGTCAAAGAAGCTAGAAAGGGAGCTAATTCTACATATGGAAATATTTCAGCTGTGAAACAAATTATTCATGTTTTATTGTCATTTGCCTTCAGTTTTGCTGCTGCTTATGGAAACCTTATGAATGAGTGACTTTCAAGAGGTCATCAACAATGTTGTATGCCAGAAATAATACTTTATAGAGGGAGACTGACAGATTATTCACAAAAAATCAAGCTATGGATGCTTTATTCAAATGCAGGAATAATAAAAGCCTTATTCAGGAATTCTAAACCATTTTAAAAGTTTAATAATAATAATAATAATAATAATAATAATAATAATAATAATAATAATTTTTATTTATATCCCGCCCCTCTGCCAGGCAATCGGAGCGGCGTACAACATTCAAACATCAAAACAAATAAAATCAATACAAATCCCATCCCTCATTCCCACCCCCCCAAAAACAAATCAAACAAAACACATTAAAAATAATTAAAATTAGCTTAATTCACAAAGCACATCTATACAATAAACAAAGGCATTCTAAATATACAGAAAAAATAGAGATAGCCTCGCACTGAGCATCAGGGCCACACCCGCAAGAGTCTTAAAGGGCTAAGGCTGGGGCTCTGCTGCTACATCCTCCAATCCCATCCCTGCCTCTCATGAGGCCAGGTGTTCCGAGGAAGTAGGGGTGGGGGAGGAGGCTCACCACCTGGCTTCTGAGTCTCTTCCCAAGTCTCTGCTGTGGCCAGTGGTCTGGGCTTGCAGAGACTTTGAAGGCTCCCATGAGGCCAGGTGTTCCGAGGGAGGAGGGGGCAGGGAGGAGGCTCACCGCCCGGATCCCGAGTCTCTTCTGTTCAAATTTAATATAGTAAATGTGAAGAGGAGGGCAGAAATAGGAAAGATAGTAGAAAATGTGTTTTGTTGCTGTGTGCCTTCAAATTGTTTCTGACTTATGGTGACCCTAAGTTGAACCTATCACAGGATTTTCTTGGTGAGATTTGTTTGGAGGGGGGTTTGCCTTTGCCTTCCTCTGAGCCTGAGAGCCAAGGTCACCTAGAGGGTTTCCAAGTCAAGCAGGGATTTGAACCCTAGCATCAAGAGTTTTTGTCTAGTGTTCAAACCACTAGACCACACAGGCTCATTAAAATGTGTTTAGTTAATCATTAATAAGCTAAATCGGAGCCAGTATGTTATAGTGGTTTCAGCACTGGACTATGACTCTGGAGACCAGGGTTTGAATCCCAGCTCAGCTATGAAACCCACTGGGTGACCTTGGGCAAGTCACTCTCAGCCTCAGAGAATGGCAATATCAAACCCCTTCTAAAGAAAACTGCCAAGAAAACCCCATGATAGATTAATCATAAGTTGGAAATGACTTGAAGACACACAACAAGAAGCTAAAAATAATCTAATTCTATGGCATTTACAGTAGAAGGTGAAAATATTAGTGATTGCTTTTATGTTAAGTTTCTGTTTAAATTTAAGTCTTACCAGAACAAAGATGAAGAACACTACCCATGATTTTTCTGCCCCATTCATCTTTTGAATGTGGGGAAGAAGGAAATTGCTGCATCAATTATTAATTAATAATTTAATTGTGGAATTAAGTTAATGCTGAAATTCCAACTGAAATCAATTACCTTAAAAAAATGTAAGAAGGTTGGCCTGCTTCGAGCAAGAGTAGGAAGTTGTGATCCTGAGACAAGAGCACGTAATATCTGTCTACATACAAGACAAGTTCTGCTAATTCCACAAGTTGCCTTACTTTCCTCCCCCTTTATTCCTTCGTCTTCTCTCTGAACCTTCTGTCTCTGGGTGATAAATATGGTGTCTAAACTGTGCGCTAAGTCTGCAGCAGTCTCCACATAAGGGAATAGTATTTGAAACTCATCAGCCTTGAAACCTGTACATAATTTCCATCTCTTTGATCAATATAGTAAAAACAGGAAAAGGAGGAGGACAAAAACAAAACAAGAAGGGGGATAAAAGGAAAATCTCCTATATTTTCTTCCACTCTCTCCCCCTCTATATTTATTTATTTATGTATCTTTCCTCTGACTCCCAGATGGCTTTTGAAGCATTCTCTGCATTTTCAGACAATCACTTAATACTTAGCCTTTGCTTAAGCATAAACGGCTAGACTCCTCTTTTTCTTCTTCAATTGCACATGTTACCAATGGAGATTAGTGCCCTTTCTCTATGGAGCTGTCAGTGTTAACGTGACACAAGCTATTAACATTCTATTTGTAAGTGGTCGGCAGCTTCCCTTGACATTCTTGTAAAAAGGCCACCGAACCCTGCAGTGTGTGCTGTTTTCTCTGAGATAATCCATTCCTGTCCCATTTGATTGGCTAGTGACATACAGTCTGTCAGAATTACTAATGATCCTGTGCAGTAATACTTTAAAAGAGAGAGAGAGGGAGAGAGGGAAGGAGAAAGAAAAAGAAGGGGAGGAGGAAACAAGACCGGGTTATGTCACATTGATTATGCCATGATGTTCTTCTGTAGCACTGACACAAATCTTCTGCATGACTATGAAGTCCCAATTCTGAGATATCCACTGGAGTTAAAAGACTTTGCAGACTGCCAGAAATAGTATAAATTGAGTCCACTTTAAGGGTTAGGGTTAGTGCTAGGGAATCATGGGAATTTGTTTTTTTCCCTGAGACATTGAGCCTTCTCTGTCAGAGAGCTCTGGTGCCATAATAAAATACAGTTCCCATGATTCCCTAACCCTTAAAGTGACTCAATTTGCACTATTTCTGGCAGTCTGCAAAGGCCCTAAAATAAACTTTTAAAGGCTTGATAGTTTCTTCTTCAGAGAGGCATATACGAACTGGACTGTTTCTTGAACCTTGTGGTTTTCTGTCTGAATAGTGCATGATTTGTAATGCTCTTGATATATACTTTTAAGACATAAGCCAGAACCCTCTTGATGTCTTATGCATGTGTAGGAAGCATTTGAACACATTTTTCTGATGGGGAATATCTATATCCTGTTCAAGGTCTGGGAGCAGAGTTCCATACACATGTGATGTTGCACATGTAGATGTGCATCTAATTGTGTGTTCCATTGCACATGCTGTTGTGCATTCAGTTGCTCATTCATCTGCACAACATTGCCATTCAACCTAAGAGTTGTGTAGCACAATCAATGTCTAACTCTGCTTGTAGAGATTTACATTATGCAACCCTGATGTGGGAGCCTGTGTTAATCTACAAAATGTAGCTCTGCACACAAGGATATCATGGTTATTGTCATTTTACAGATAGGCAACTGGGGTTGATAGATTATGACTTACCAGGGGCAGGGCTGGCCCAATACATTAGGGCCCAAGACAAGTGGAATTTGAACCATGGTTTCCAGAGTTGTCCAACACTTAAATCATTATGCCATGCTGGCTCCTTATGAGGAATATGAGGAAGCTACTTTCTCCATATTTATGGGTTGATGTTGTCATTTAACAACACTGACTGGTTATGGGACTGTTGCAAGAAATTGCCGCTGTTGTGCATTTTGTGTGGTTTTATTGTATTGTCAGAGATCTTGAAAGTTATTTTTTTTTTAGTGTTCAGACTTCCAAAGCTAGATTTTTTTTTTTACTACATTTTCATGATTACAAGAACTTTGTTTGTCCAACTTTGTTTTATTCAAGTCAACACAGGGAAATGGAGACAGAAGAGGTAAATACTTTTTATATTCTTTAATATTTATATTAAATAATTTATATTCAGAGCCCCTTGCTCTAAAGCCAATACTATGTCTGTGACAGCACAATTTTGATCATCTGCTTCTTGCAATCATCTCAATATGCTTGTCTGCCACACAGACATTACACAGAGTGAAAGTTGATTATTCCAATATTTCTTGAAACCTTCCATACTAGCCCTCTTTGAAAGAATCCATTTCCTTCATTTTTGTTTGAAGAAGGGGATATTAAGGGGACACACGATAGTTCTTTTCACATATCTGAAAGGGTGTCTACAAAAGATGGAGCAGATGTTTTCTATGAATGATTGGTTTAGACCCATTGGGTACCAATGGAAGAGAATCAGATGTAGATCAAATACTAGGAAACACATTTCTAGTATTTCTAGCAATCAGAGTTATTTAACACTGGAACAGATGGTCTGAGGAAGTTGTAGGGCCTTTGCAGACTGCCAGAAATAGTGCACATTAAATTGAGGCACTGCCCTGGCTCAGTGCTAGGGAATCATGGGAACTGTAATTTATTGTGGCACCAGCGCTCTCTGACAGAGAAGGCTCAATGTATCAGAAAAAAATACAATTCCCATGATTCCCTAGCACTGAGCCAGGGCAGTGCCTCAATTTAATGTGCACTATTTCTGGCAGTCTGCAAAGGCCCGTAGTCTGTTCAGTGGAGGGAAGCATGCAGTCCTACAGATCTTGAAATGTAGTTCCCAGCATTCTTTCCTACTGGCTATGATGGTTGGGGTTGTTGGGAGGTGCAATCAATAAAAGGGAAATCTATATGATATGTACCCTTGATTCAATTAGGTAGTAGATATCCATTTCAGCCCCTTCAACTGTTTCAATTTGTCAAGAATAGTCCTGATTAATCCTATTCCACTTTTTCAGTTGCTTTAAAAATGACCCAGTATTTCTATCTTCCTCCTCCTTCCTCACTTTATCCTCAACCCATTTCAATTGTAAAATTAGTTTAAAGTGAAAACAATAATAATTTATATTCAATTAACTCAGCAGGGGGAGAGAAAGAGGTGGCAAAATCTTGGCTTTCCTAGTATGGTCAAACAAAAGCAAACTGCTGAAGCCTCTCCTTATTTGTGTGTTCTTCTTCATCAATAACTTTAGCTATTGTGACCTCTCTCAGATGTGTGCTTGGCCACATGTGTCCTGTTTTTCATTTGGGAAGTGCTGGAGGATATGCCATTCTTAAGGGATGCTGTAGTTGCAACCCATATTTCAGATGCTGCATTGAGCAAGGAGTTTAATGAAGTGACCTCCAAATTCCGTTTTCAACTGTAGGATTTTGTTAATACTTAAATTAATTTTGGGAACTTTTGCAAAAGAATGCTTTATGGTGGACAGAACCTGAACTTGTAAAATTAATTTAGGGAAGGGCTATATCACGAATCTCAGAGCCAGAATGTCTACAAGACCACACTTTCTGGGAGCTGTTTCCAGGCTGTGAACAGAATAATGCTCATTTTGCTTTTAAACATAACCAGATTCACACTAACTCAAATTTGTAAATGTCTCTGTCCTTCTCTCTCTCTCAAACACACAAACTGCTCTATCCTTGTTTCCTTTTAACTTCTTCACTCCTTTTCTCAGACCTCTCTCTTTCCCTACTTCCCTCTCTCTTATCTTGTTTTTGAAATGCTTTAATGAGGCTTTTATATGGTGTTGATATTTTTTCGTCACCTCGTATAAAACCTGTTAAAAGAGCTGAAGCAGCCTTTCTCCTCTGTAAGAAGGTTTATACTTGAAGCATGGCTGAGGAAGATTGCCCTTTAAAAGTCTTTTAAAATGCTGTTAAAGAAACAGTAACTTTATTAACAGTCTTTAGGACAGGATCCCTTCAAAACTGTCTTCTCTTGTGGCTCAAGTAGAAAGAAGACTGTTAGGCTTTTAAAGGCTTTTAAAAGATCCTGTTAAAATTAGTGTCAAGATCCTGGGCCTTTGAAATGGCTCACTCTCCTGCCATTTGTAAAGTGTGTGCTGAGGTGCCAACTTCATGGTGATGACGAGATGGCATAAATTGCTCTAGGAGGAATTTTGGAGTCTACAAAAGGGATAATTCTTATCCTACTTCTCTCAGAGAAGTATGACACAACTTTTGGCTCAGAAAAAACACAGGAGTAACAAATTTACATCCCATCTTTCCCCAAAATTGGGACTTAAGGTGGCTTACAATATAATAATGAATAACCACCACCACCACCACATCAATCAGAGATCTTGTAGCACCTTTGAGACTGTGTGAAAAAGATATAGTATACATTTTTTTTTAGACTTAGGGCCTCTGCAGACCAGCCCAAAGGGCCAGCCTGGAAGTAGAGTTGGGGCGAGGCAGCTGCTCACAGGCTGCCCCAACCCCATAACAACACCGTCCTGATGTTGTGTGCCATTATGCATGGCATGTGGCATCAGGA